TTGTTTTTCAGGTAGTTTTTTAAAACAATGGTGACTGGTTTTCTGAGGTTGCCTGGCTTTTTGTTCCACTCCCCTACCTGTATGTGAGCTTCCACTTTCTTTCATCTCTGTTGACTCCATCCTGCTCAGGTTTGCTTCCACTCCTAGTAGGGTCTTCTCAGTGTGGTGCCCTGACCTGAAGAGAGGTGCCTTGACTGGTCAGTTTGGGGAGTTCATTGAGGCTAAACCGCCCTAGCCCTTCAGACCTTTCTGCAGACCTTTTGTACAGACCCACTAATGCAGTGGATATTCCTGCTTTCAGCTAATGTTGTCAAATTGGCCACCATGCTTTCCTGTGAATACCTTGTGGCTATTTTGGGCTTTTCCTGTTCTCAGATCTCTCTCAGACTCCCTGTTATTTCCTTCTGCTTTCTCCTGCACAGATACTAATATTATAAAGGACTTGTGGCTGTTAATTGTTTGACCTACTAGCATGTATATTGGGGTTCATGGGGATACCTCTTGTCTAGTTTTGTTGTAAATGTTGTTCATGGGATTTTAGTTTTGCTATCTGGTTTTCTGTCTGTCTGTAAAATATGCACACAGACACACACACTTCACACTCACAGTGCTGTGGATCCCCAAGACCAGGTTTGAAGATTCACTAGGAAGGCTCACGTGATTCAACATAGTCATACACATGACTATGAGGTATTATAGTGAAAGGATCCAAAGCAAAATCAGCAAAGGGAAAAGGCACATGGGTGAAGTCCTGAGGAAACCAGACATGAGCTTCCAAGAGTCCTCTCTCAGTGGAGAGGATGTACTTAGTTTCCCCAGCATCAAATTGTGACAACATGTATGAAATGAGGGAAGCTCCTTAGAGACTCATTGCCCAGGCTTTGTATTGGAGGCTGGTCACCTAGGCAACCTCTGCCTAGCGTGTGCCGAAATTCTAAACTCTCAGAAGGAGAGCATATATTCAGCCATGGTTCAGCCATAAACCATATCTTTTGCACAAACAATGTAGGCAAAGTGAGCCACCCTTATCAGTCAGTGAGCCACTCTTATCAGTTAGGGTAGTGGGAACCCTCCCAAAACCCAAGTTCCCAGATACCAGCCAATGGCCGGCCTTGAAAGCAGGACTTTGTAAGGATAGGCAGTCTCAGGCCTGCTTGTTAAGTCTTTTCTGCACTCACACACACACAGACACAAATGGAGGAATTCAGGGAGATTCGAAAATGCTGCCACCACCATAACCACTGTCTTCTCAGAGTCCTCCAGTTAAAAGGATTTTAAGCAAGACAGAAATACGTTCAGGTTTCCAGTTTTGAAGGGGTTACTGCTGCAGTAGTGTGAAGGATGGATAGAAAGGCTTTGAGGATGGAAGTAAGCAGTAGCTTGGGTGACAGTTGGTTAGTGCTTGAAATAAGACACTGGGAATCAAGAAGAAGGAGGGGATGGAGTCGAAAGGCTGTATATATTTATTTGTGTGTGTGTATATATGTATGTATCTATATGTAAATACATATATATAGTGTCTAGTGTGTGTATATATGTGAGACGAAAGCTATAAGAAAATATGAATGTACATTCTTATCTCTGCAAAGGGAAGCTTTTCTAAGTGTAAGAACAAAGTCATAGTTGTGGGGACAAGTTTGATAAATTTAAGTACATAAAAATTTAAAATCTGACAAAAATCAAGACTTGAAAAAAAATCAACAAAATTGAAAGGAAAATGGGGAAAATATTTATACCTATGAGACCATTAATGTCTTTATGATACTAATAGCAACTGCAAATTAGTATTTAAAAAATCTTAATAGCCCAATAGAAAATAAGCAAAGTAGGTTAATGGGCAATTCACAAAAGAAGGAAGACAAATGGTCACTTAGCATTTTCCAGCCAAGAACCTTTAAAGTGTGAACAACAATGAAATAAAAATTGTTTTATAAATTAGCAATTTTTATAAATGATAGTAGTCAGGGTACTTGGAAATTGGAAATAACCTAAATGTCCAACATCAGATTATTTAGATAAATTAATATACTCATCATTCATATATTATCCAGCTATTAAAAGCATGTAGTAGAAAATATTAATGACATGGCTAACTTTATAATAATAAAGTATGATCCTAAGTTTTCTGTTAATACTTTACTGAATACACACAAACGTGTACAAATAGAAAAATACTTAAAGGATATCCCGCAAAATGTTAACCAGTTTTTCTCTAGGTGGTGGGATTATGGATGGTTTTTCTTTTCTTTTTTGTAATTTTTTTTTTTTTAATTTCCAAATATTTATAGCAGAGGTCAGCAAACTGTGACCCATGGCCTGGCCATTAGTTTTGTAAATAAAGTTTTATTGGAACACAGCCATGTTCATTCATTTATGTATTGTCTATAACTGCTTCTGCAGTACAACACTCTAAAATATTTATTATCTGCCCCTTTAAGAAAAAGTTTGCCAACCCCTGATCTATAGTGAGTGATGTATTTTTTATATTTAGAAACAACCTCCCTCCTCCACAAGCACACACATTCTTACGTAATAATGATGTAAGAAAAAAATAGCATCGCTGCTTATATTGCTGGGATTTTTTTTATCAGCTTCTTGGCAAGATTTTTTTTTCTTAGAAATAACGTGAATCTGGAACAAGGTAGGGGCTTAATAAGTGCTGTTGATACTAAAATGAATTGATACTTATTTTAAATATAATTTAGTAGATTAATACTTCTTTTATCCAAGATCATTGGATACTCTCTTAATGATATTCTAAAGAGATAATGATTTAATAGATGTAGAAAGTTCAGAAATGAAGGTCTGTTATCAAAGAGATAGAGGGGAGGCTTTAAAGAAATCAGTGTGGCTACTTAAGCATCTTTTAAAAAACTAGGTGTAAAAGAGGTTGAATGGGTGCATAAACAATGATGAATATGAGAGTCGTGAACCTGTAAAAATAGTGGCAACAGCTACTATGTACCTGGCTCTGTGCAGAAATGCTATTTAATCCTCAAAATAACGTTGACAGGCAAACAAGAATGTTTTAGATTTTGTAGATGAGAACACTGAGGCTTAGAGAGTTTAAATAATTTACCCAAGTCACAGAGTTTGGCTGAGCCTCTACTTAAAACCCAGGTTTTTCTGAGAGGAAGATTTATGATTTTTAGCCTCTTTTTCTTTTCTTAATGGGTTCCCATATAGGTCCACAGAATTTGAAGTAATATATGGAATTTAGGTTTTGACTTAATCAAGAAATGCATTTTTAACTATAAAGTTCTGTTATATAAAGTAGAAAGCTCCTTGTTTTCACTACATTCAAGCGGATTCTGGATGACCATATTTTAAGGATATTTTAGTAAATTCGTACTGTGGCTAAGAGGTTGAACTCTACAAACTTTGAGAATCTGCAAGTTCTATGATTTTAATAGTGTTATTCTTTTTTTAAGTTCTGCTTGTGCATTTAATTTAATATAATTAATTTAGGTTACATGAAGGATCATAACTGTATGAGCTCTTAAAGTGCTGCAGAAATCTTTTAAAAATTAATGTTTTGCTAGGTTGATATATGACTCTATAAACATTAATTCACTAAGGATCTCTATGGTTTTTATATAGTCAAGGTCCATGTAGTTTATTTTTTCTTGAATGTAGACCAGAGGAAAGATTTGTCTGTTCAACTGGATATACTTTTCCTTAACAAAAATGGAAAATACAAACCAACATTTTCTCTTTGTACTTTAGCCATATGAAAAGGAGGAGCCAAATTTATGGGTGACCGTAGTAATTATCTTACCATAGGTGTCTGATAACAAATACTCCTTTTGTTTCCTTAGACAGAATTTATTTTGTGTTATTCCTAAATATTTTTTGTTGTTGAGGGCTAATATGTGTTATTTTAAAACATCTTAGAAGTAAGTAGAATATAAACTTTTGATATGTAAAAGCTTGTGATTTCAAATCCTTTTTGAGTGTGATAGATTAAACTAGATAGAACAAACAAGAAGCTCTCAGATTTGACTTGTGTTCTGTGCCAGTCTCATCGGGGACCTGTATGTATAGCTGGTATCTGCCTACTAGATTCATTGCTTGACTCAGGGCTGTAACTTAACTGTTGGAAGGGGTCTTACATCCAGTTTCCCTCTCTTGTGGATTCTACTTAATATTAATTTCTATACTTATATTGCTGTTTCTGTGCAGGGAAAAATTAGCTTAAATGTAAAATACTTAGTTTTCAGCACAGTAAATGGTAATATCCATACAAGTTTGAAAGCAATATTTTAGTAAAGGTAGATAAAATTCATCCAGTTTTAATCCACGACCTGTTTACTCAAACTGGATCCTTGTTTATTCTAGTTCAGCAGAAACTAGAAAGAGAGAGTGTCTCCGCTGCCTCCAGAGACGAGTGTTTAGAGAAAGGCCAGCATTGCCCTCAGGCTGATGCTTTTGCAAGAATGGATATGGTCCATCCCCGGTCTAGAGTGTTGCGAATTCCCGCTTTGTGGTTTAGTTAGTTTTTTATTATGCTTCAAGTGTTGAATTGCCAGCACATCAGCTGCTTAGTTTAAACAAATATATCCAGGTACCTAAAATATGTGTAGAAAACAAATATGAAATATTACTTATTCCCTGCCAGTGTTCCCTTATACTTATTTTTGATTTTGCTGTGACTGGGCCTTTTATTTTTATGGTGGATGTTCTAACCCTGATGAATTAATGTAGTTAATTTCACTGTATTGTATTCTTCCTTTGAAAAGAGGAGATTGAGGTAAGTCTACTCCAAGATAATAAAATCATGACAAATCAATTATTAGAATATTGGTATGTCTTGGGATCCTCTTATAGCCCACCAAATGATTTTATGGTTGTCCTGATGGAAACCTATTGCTCTATAAATCAGAGAAGTCCTAACTCCCTTGTGATTAGTGTAGTTGGTGGTTGGCCATTATTTATATAGTTTATATAAAATGTTTTTAGGAATGCTTACGATTACATAAGATGTATTCTTATTTTTATAGTCTGTTCGGCACTTGAAGTACTCCTTGTTTAAGAAATCGCTACTGGGCAGTGTTTCAGATAATGGAGTCGTAACTCTCTGGGATGTGAATGGTCAGAGTCCATACCATAACTTTGGCAGCACACATAAAGCTCCAGCTTCAGGCATCTGTTTTTCTCCTGTCAATGAATTACTATTTGTAACTATAGGCTTGGATAAAAGAATCATTCTCTATGACACTTCAAGTAAGAAGTAAGTGTGACATGCTCATTTCTTAGTTTAGTAACAAATAATTATTATCTCATTAGCAGACATATTGTGATTTATATGGACCTTTGATTAATGTTGAGGAGATATAAAGTTTGTGTACATAATATCTAGTAAGACAGAATTTCCTCTTTTTCTTCCCATGCAGAAAAAAATAGACGAGGCTTGGGTATTCGAAGAGTACTCTGGGTGATGAATGTTGCTGGATAGCATGTTAATGATTTCACATCTTTATTTTAGCATGCATGCATATTATTCTTTTTCAAAATACAACTAAATATGTTTTTTTTTTTGAGGAAGACTAGCCTTGAGCTAACATCTGTTGCCAATCCTTCTCTTTTTGCTGAGGAAGATTGGCCCTGGGCTAACATCTGTGCCCATCTTCCTGTACTTTATATGGGATGCTGCCGCAGTGTGGCTTGATAAAGCGGTGCATAGGTCCGTGCTCGGGATCCGAACCTGTGAACCCCAGGCTGCTGAAGTGGAGCGTGCGAACTTAACCGCTAAGGGGCCCCTAAATATGTATATTTTTAAAGCAATATGATTAATTTTCTTTAAAATTAATTTGTTATCTAGGGCAGTGTTTCTAAACTGTTAACGTTTGGGCTGGTTAATTATTTGTTGTGGGGAGCTGTCCTGTGCATTGTAGGATATTCAGCAGTGTCCCTGCCTTCTACCCACTAGATGCCAGTAGCACTCCCAAAATTAGCAAATTTGCCCCCAGTAGAGAACCGCTGATCTAGAGCTAAAGGGTACATAATCTTCTATTGTCCATTGTGCCTTCTTGTCCTTCTTAGAGTTATGGGTGTGCTTGGTTAGCTAAAAAAGAAAGGACGAAAAGACTGTAACAGTGCTGTGGGTGTATTCAAGACACCCAACAGTGTCTAAAGATCATGTGGAAGAAATGGTAATATCACTACCAGGGAAGGACCTACTGTCAGCCCTTGTTAGAAATTTACTCTTATTTCACTCTCTTCTTTTTTTTCTTTTTTACTCTTTTCGTTTTGAACTAATTTCCCAAAAGCCCTAAGAGTCAGTAAGCCATTCCTCTCTTATACCAGACACTCCAGCAAAGAGCTCAGCTTCAGCAGATCAGTATCCATTTTTCTGTATTAGCTTCCTGAGGATCAAGCTGCATGGATTCTGTTAGCTTTTTGGTCAAGAGATCCGCAACTGAGAGCAAAGTAGCAGCTGCTCCCCTGTGAAAGGTCATAGTCCTCTTGAGGCCTAAGCAGCGCCAGTAAGTGGAAAGGGGATACTTAGGGTCTCTTTAACCCTTGTTTGTGGGAATTCTGTCACATTCACTGCCAGAGTGATAATTACGCAAAGAAATAGATGCTGCTTCTAGAAGATGTGGGATGTATCTGTTGGAAATGAATAGAAAAATAGGGTGGAGGCTTCAGCAGTTCCTAACATGCCATGGTATTGGAAATGTCTCTAAGTCTAATTCTAAATTTCTGCTTTAAACAAATATTTGGGATGTGTATTCTAAGTAATTTTGCCAAATTCTAAGTAACTTTGGTTTTGGTATACAGTTATTTATATGTCATATAAGCTTATATACCTGTGTACACTCACACGTCTACATGCACTCTGTTCTCCTTTCCACAGACTGGTGAAAACTTTAGTGGCCGACGCTCCTCTAACTGCAGTAGATTTCATGCCTGATGGAGCCACGTTGGCAAGTGGATCTTCCCGTGGGAAAATATATAAATATGATTTAAGGATGTTGAAATCACCAGTTAAAACCATCAGTGCTCACAAGACATCTGTGCAATGTATAGCATTTCAGTACTCCACTGCTCTTTCTAAGGTAGGATATTTTCTTTCTTTTTGGCATTTTTTATTTTACCGAATAAATCTAGCTCAGAATATGGAAATCATATGTTGTTAATTACACAGTATAGTTTTGCTTCATAATTATTTTTATATGAAAGCATTTTAAATAATTTTAGTACAAAGCCATTTGATACTTAGTTCTAAAACTATTTTTTTTTGGCATTTAAGTCTCATATTTTTCTCTCTTCAATATTACTGTAAAAGGCTTTTTTAGCTCAGAGGGAAACTCTCAGGTCCACTAGCAAGCTTGACATTTGTAAGGGAAAATGTGTATATTTTTTAACCAAACAGGGAATTTATAAAATATTAATGTATAGTATGGAACATTAGAAACCTGAGCTTTTAAATATTCCATTACGTTTCAGTCAAGTTTAAATAAAGGCTGTTCAGATAAGCCAACAGCTGTGAACAAGCGGACTGTTAATGTGAGTGCTTCTAGTGGAGGAGTTCAGAATTCTGGAATTGTCAGAGAAGCAACCACCACTTCCATTGCCACGGTTCTACCGCAGCCCATGACAGCGGCTGTGGGGAAAGGAACAGTTGCTGTGCAAGACAAAGCAGGTAAATGTTGCTTGGATATAGTATTCAGAGTTTCCACTCTGCTCCCATCCCCAAATATATATCATTAGCACTTTCTTCTAGTGCCTAGAACTCAAATTCACTTGAGCATTTAGGTAAAATTATTAGTAGATAGTGAAAATTGAAGAAGTGAAAATTCTAACTTTAGCTATAATTTTTTTTTAAATAAATGAAAGGTATTTCACTTATTCTATTTAGCTGAACTTCTGTTGTAAGAAAAACTGATTATCTTAAAAATGGAATAATGCCAATTTAGGAATTATTCATCCTTAATACCACTACAGACTGGATGACTTTCCCTTGTGTCTTCAGATTAATCAGTAGAGAATATGAAACTTTGATGCTGTCATTATGATTTGATCTCTGAGTTAAACAAAAGGGAAAACTATTAATGACTTCTTTTATTTCGTATTTCAGAATAGAAAGTAAGTCAAGTGATGAGTATATATAAGTCCTGAATAGTGCCTAGCACATATTAAGCAGTATGTTAGTCGTTTGTTAAATAAAAATAAAATGTTGCAATTTTTAAATAATTTCTTCTACTCTGATAATCATGTTGATGAAACGGTTGTTAAAGAATTCGTTTAGACTTTGTGAAGGTGTAATATGATGATAAGCTTCCTCATACTTATTGTAAAAGATATTCTTTGCCACAATAAAGATCAGATTCCCTAAATTCCTGAAAACCTTTTTGTTTTATTATAAGAAGTTGTGCTATACTGTCAACTTGCGACATATTTTTAAAAGTCTACATGGTATACCAGTATATTTCCATAATATTCTCATTAGAAATGGATGTATCCATGTCTTTTTTAATTTTTAGGACAAGTACTTGACTTGCACAAAAATATTTGTTGGTGCTTTCTCAGTATGAGTTTACTATTTCCAAATAGAAGCAAAACTTTAATTTGTTAGCCATGATAGTGTGAAATAGTTTTTTTTTTTTTTTTGTGAGGAAGATCAGCCTTGAGCTAACATCCATGCCAATCTTCCTCTTTTTGCTGAGGAAGACTGGCCCTGAGCTAACTAACATCTGTCCCCATCTTCCTCCACTTTATGTGGGATGCCGCCACAGCATAGCCTGACAAGTGGTGGGCTGCTGCGCGCCTGGGATCTGAACCTGGGCCGCCAGCAGTGGAGTGTGCACACTTAACCACTAGGTCACGGGGCTGGCCCCGTGAAATAGTTTTTTAAAAATAATAAGTATATTCACTATAAATTTCTGTGAATATCTACATCATCCTTACATAAAAATCATTTCCTATTATATAGAAAAATAATTACTTAAGAACTGGAAACAAATATTATTGCTATCTATTTAAAAGAAGAAATTCATTTTGAAATATAACTTTGAGTAATGTTTGCCAAGATGTTGAATTAACTGTATCATGAAAATTGTCATTATTTTCAAAAATTATTTTATTATTATGGTATTAATTTTATTCATAACTTTCAAAAATTAAATGAACTAAAGATTTACTGTAAACTTTCTGAAGTCTCCCTGTTGTTCATTTAGTTTTTAATAAGGAAGCTCATAGCGATGACAGCATTAATTAGAAAATGGCAGACTTAGGTCTGCAGGGTCACTGATTAATGATAACTCTTGCTGGTTAGCAAAGTTTCTGGCAAAGTGAATGTTTACTTTGTACCCACAAAGCATTAGAAATTTTTGTTTATTTTATTTTGAAATAATTGGAAACTCATAAAAAAGTTTCAGTAGGGGGCTGGCCTGGTGGCGTAGCGGTTAAGTGTGCGTGCTTTGCTTCGGCAGCCTGGGGTTCACAGGTTCGGATCCTGGGCGTGCACCAACGGTCCGTTTGTCAGGCCATGCTGTGGCGGCGTCCCATATAAAGTAGAGGAAGATGGGCACAGATGTTAGCCCAAGGCCAGTCTTCCTCGGCAAAAGGAGGATTGGCAACAGATGTTAGCTGAGGGCTGATCTTCCTCACAAAAAGAAAAAGTTTCAATAATAGTACAAAGAACTCCTGAGTTCTAGTATACCCTTTAGCAGAGTCACCATTTTTTTGTGTGTGTGTGTGAAGAACATCAGCCCTGAGCTAGCATCTGATGCCAATCCTCCTCTTTTTTCTGAGGAAGACTGGCCCTGAGCTAACATTTGTGCCCATCTTCCTCTACTTTATATGGGACGCCTCCACAGCATGGCTTGACAAGCAGTGTGTTGGTGCGTGCCTGGGATCCAAACCGGCAAACCCCGGGCTGCTGCAGCGGAGCGTGCGCACCCAACTACTTGCGCCACCGGGCAGCCCCCAAGATTCACCATTTTATAAATTTTATAAAATGTATAAGTTGACCATTTTTGCCACATTTGCTCCATCATTTTCTCTCTCTCTGCACACGCACTCACATACACAGACACATACATTTTCCCCCCTCTGAAACATTGAGAGTATGTTAGGCTTAAGTCTCAGGGCTTTCACTTCCTACCAGGATGACTTTGGGCAGTTTTCCTAACCACTCTGAGTCTCATTTTTCTCTTCCATAGATAATATTTAACTTTTAGGGTTATTGAGAAAACGTATCAAAAGTACATGGCACGTGGTAGGCACTCAGTAAATTATGGTGTTGCCAATATTGGCATCACGATCATCATCATCACTATTACTATTATTTTAAGCTTTATGTAAATTAAATCTAAAGTTTGGAGTAAACTCATGTAGCTTCTACTGAAGGCATCCTGTTTTAGTTATTGAAAAGAACCTCTGCAGACTTGTTGCTAGCACTTATTTTCAGTAGGAAACATCCATTTAAGAAGTAAAAAAATAAGGCTTTAGCAGTATTTTCAAATGATACCAAATTTCTGTTTCCTAAAGTTCCAGAGGCTACAGTTACGCACTCAAACATGTTAAGGACCTAGAAAAAGGAGAGGAAATTTCTTCCTTATAACACTTTAACGCTTAGTGTAAACACTCTTCAGTGATGGTGCTGTACAAATATTTGGTTATGTTTTAACTTTCTGTCAGGTATTATTAGAAAAGTTTATTTCATTAGCCAGGCTTGGACATTTTTGGATATACAGGCTGTTCTTTGTTTTTTCCCCCAGGCTTTTCAGTTTTCATTTGGGAAGTAAATGGCAAATAAAACCTTTTTAAAATGTAATGCAGTAACATGCTACCGACTGAAATGCCAGACTTTCATCAAAGCTCTTGAATCTCTAGAACTCAGTCGTTAACCCAAAAATGAGCAAGAAGCTACTGAGCCTGCAGAGTCCCTCTTACAAAGTCCCTGCCCTAGAGCCGTGCCTTATACACTGACAAAGAAGACACTGCTGCACGCCTCTTTGTTGTTGTCTGCTGTAATGTCCTTTGGGGGTTTGGTATTCCGCTTTCCTTCCTCTTAGTAAACTTTCGTGAGGTTAGTGAAGTCATTTGAGGTTCATAATGCTGAGAGCAATGTTAAGCTCCCACTGTTAGTGAAGGAAAAGGAGAGAAGGAAAAAAAGAGATCCATTCACTGCAAGTTGGGGAAAGGAACTAACATTAGTTGAATCCTGCTGTATATTAGGCATGGTGCTGTATGCCTTACAGGCTTTTTTTTGTTTAATCGTTTGTAGATGATCATAAGATTGAGTCAGTCAGTTACAAAAGTAAGTTGTGTTCAGTATACTTTAAGAGGGAAGCAAAATATATAACTTATTTTAGAAAAATTCCATCAAAATGGCTAAAATAAGGTGGTGTTTTGTATGAATAAATAAGTCATTTGCTTTTGAGGAGCCCTGCACTCCATGAAAATGAGGGTTACTTGAGCTATTGTTATAGTCTGCTGTCTTGTCCTCATGCTCACAGTCTGTTAATATTACCAATATATGGGTAATGCATTAAGTTTTGGAACCTAGCTTCTGATGATAAATTTATTTAGATGTAATAACACTTATTTTTATATCTAATTCCTATCAGGTTTGCCTCGAAGCATAAATACAGATATTTTAACTAAGGAAACAGACAGTGGAAAATATCAGGATTTCTCCAGCTTTGATGATACTGGAAAAAGTAGTTTAGGTGACATGTTCTCACCTATCAGAGATGGTAAGTCTGTTCAGATCAGAGGATCATGTTCTCTTGCTGGTAGTCATTACATTTTTATTCTGGCTAAAAGATGTGGGTAATAGCTTCAGTCTGACTCTATTCGTGACAGTTTGCTAATTTTCTCATTCCCTGGGGTGGTGTCTTTTCCTTTGCCCTGATATTTCAAATGTTATCATTCCAAAATATATCCTGGTAATTTTCGCATGGGAACTCTGAAAATGACTCTCAAGTTAGCATTTTAATTTCCACAGAAGTTTCTTAAAGGAAGTTTTGACTCTGTAGGCAATCTTTTACTTGTATCTACTTCTAAATGAATCTTCCTAAAGACTTGGATATTTTGACAGGCAAAAAATATCTTCCTAACTTAAAAGAATTTGTTTGTTTCTTTGATTATTAGTATTCAATTGGTATTTATTAAATGTTTTCATGGAGAAATGTAGCTAGGTGATAGATTGCCTCATCTTTTACGCTAATTATGTATGAAAGTAACCCCCCCCAAACACACACACACACTCCCCGTTGCTAGTGGATGTTGCCATTAAAAAGAATGAAAACCAAAGTTTTTCCAGCTTGATAAATGGAAACGTCACATCTCATTGTTGTTCACGCTGTGTGAACGAGGCACGTGGTTTGGCTGTGCTGTTTTGGTACTAATGTTCATATTATTTTCCCTAATGGGGTAGTCGCACTGCTCAGAGCAGTGTTATCAACAATAAGGTTAATTTCTAGAGGAGAATTTGGCAGACTTAAATATTCATACTTGGTGGCCTGTTAATTCCGTTTCTATAAATTTACCTAAGAAAATATTCAGAGAAGCTTGCAAAGATCTGTATGTTTACTATTTATTCATAATAGTGAAAAACTGGAATGAATCTAAATGTCAACAGTAGCAGAATGTTTAAATTGTTACATCCACTCATCAAATTTCATTATTTTTCTTTAAAAATGTCTATTTTCCAAATTTTCTATAATTTCATAACCAGAAAGAATAAATACATATGTGTTGGTACAGATTATCGAGCATCTTCTGCCTTCCCCCAGCCTGAAAATGACTACTAAAATTGCCAGGTCAAATTCCCGTTTTCCACCTAATGAAAGAGGAAGGATTCTTTATTTTCAGGATGAGGAGAGGTCAGACTACATAGTTAAAGAATGAAGAGAGGAAAGATGTGAGCAAAGGAGGGAAAAGAGGCTTGGGCTGGATTGAGAAAGGTTTTGGAGGTTGGTACCTGGTTGGGGAGATTTGGCTTATGAGAACCCTGGAGTAACTTGTGAATTGAACAGTGCTAAGAAGGGACTTTCTGGAAGTGTTTGAGTTATAAATGAAATCCTCCTTAATGGTTTTTAAGAGAAATGAATAAAGGATAGAAATTCCTCTTTAATTACTTTTGCTATTTTTAAAAATATGATTAGAATTTGAACCATATGCCCTTCCTTTATTAGAATTTCATGTTATTAATAAGGAAAAAATATGAATACTAAATATAGTACTGGTTTTCATAGTCAAGAGATTTGTGTTTTAATCTCAAGGATGCAACTCTGCTTAGGTAAAAGGCTTAATCTTTTGTGCCTCAGTTTCTTCATCTTTTAAATAAGAATACTGCTTTTGTCAAGAGAAAACTAGTAACTTCTAAAAGTGTATGGTGTTGTGCAATTGCTAGGTATGTATACACACATGCAGAGAGACAGACAGACGGATGGATGGATGGATAGATGGATGGACGATAGTCCTACTAATATGATAATCATGTATGATAATTTGTTGGCCATTTGAATTTCTGGTGAATTTTTTTGACATGTCCCCTTTTTTCTATTAATCTGTTAAAATGGATTTAAACAATTTTTGGTTGTTAATTGGTAAATGAATAGTATTACAGTACTGAAATATTCTTATACGTATCCTACCATTGAAATAAATATTAATAAAACCTTATGTTTTATATAACATGGTATTGCTTGCAAAATATATTTACATTATTTCAGTTGTTCCTCAAACCAATCTTGTGAGATGGTCATGGCATAATCCCCATTATATAGATGCAGAAACTGAAGCTTAATTGTATTCAAGTCTTGTCCAAGGTCACAAAGCTATTAAGTGGTATAGGCAGAACTGGATTACAGATCTCTGGAGCCTGCTCCAGTGCTTTTTCCAGTATACTTGGCTGTCTCATTAAGACTCTATACCATAGAATTATCTTTCATATTTGCATCTATGCGTGAAGCCAAAAGAATGAAAAGGAAGTTTATATGAGTACTAGCTTTAACTTCACTAGAGATTTGCCTTCTTGAAATCATTAGTCTCTGTACTCTTTAGGGGATGAATAGGAACCCTAAGTTGCTGTGACTTCTTTTTCACAATTTTTTTAATTTGATTTTCTACTTTTGATATAGATGCTGTAGTTAACAAGGGAGGTGATGAGTCCGTAGGCAAAGGAGATGGTAAGAACTATTGAGAAATATTTTTATGAAAATTAAAAGTGGTATTGTGTTATTATTGCTGTGTAACAAATTACTCCAACGTTTTGAAGCTTAAAAAAACAAACATTTGTCATCTCATAATTGTGGGTTAAGAATCCGAGCATGGTTTAGCTGGGTGTCTTTGGCTTCAGGTCTCTCTTGATGCTTTAATCAGGGTGTCAACAGGGCTACAGTCATCTCGGAGCTTGACTGGGCGAGGATCTGCTTCCAAGCTCGTTCACGTGGCTATTGGCCAAAGATACCAGTTCCTTCCCACGTGGGCCCCTCCACAGGGCAGGTGACAACAGGGCAGCTGGCTTCCCTCAGAGCTCGTGATCGAGAGAGTGAGAGAGGGCACTCAGATGGAAGCCACAGTGTTTGTAACCTCACCACTTTTGCTATGTCCTCTTTGTTAGAAGCAAGTCAGTACTAGGTCCATCCCACATTCAAAGGGAGGAGATTACATGAGTGCATGGATCCATGCCAGAAGGCAGGGATCCTTAGGAGCTGTCTTTGAGGCTGCCTACCAAGATATACCGCAGATATATACCAAATTAACAATTTTCGGTTATCAAAAACGAATATCAACTAAAACATTCATTGTGTTTTAGAGTTTTCAAAGTATTTTCTCATACAATATCTTTTGTAAGCCTCACCCAGGGAAATGGATATCATCGTTCATATTCACAGATCAGGAAACAGTCAGAGAGAGTTTTATGATTTTTGTCCAAAAATACACATCAAGTAAGGGGTAGAGCTGATAAATGAACCTGTCTTGTGAATCCAAATCCCATGTCTTTCTACCGTATTGACCTGTCTGTCGTGTTACATGCTTTTCTTAAATATCGAAGATTGGGGAACATCACATGCAAATGCAGTTTTTTTCTCCTCTTTTTCAGGCCTTGACTTTCTACCACAATTGAACTCAGTGTTTCCTCCGAGAAAAAATCCAGTAGCTTCAAGCGCTGCAGTACTGCATTCTAGTCCTCTTAATGTCTTTTTGGGATCTCCAGGGAAAGAGGAAAATGAAAATCATGATCTGACAGCTGAATCTAAGAAAATCTATCTGGGTAAACAGGAACCTAAGGACTCCTTCAAACAGGTACCTGCCTGAAAATGATACTGAACTCACCGTGTGTGTTTATCACTAGGAAGCATAAGGAAGCTCATCACTGGAAAGTGGACGGCTGCCAGTGGGTGTGTCCTAATTATTGACAGTGCTGTGCACTTACTAGGTAGAAAAATATTCTTAAATGTGTCACATGTTAAAAATTAAAGGATACTTTTGAAATCTCTCTTTGGATACGTTGGAAGTAATAGCAGATGTAAACTTAGAGTGGTTTTTTCTAAGACAAAATACTTGATTTAACTGTCTGTGTAAGAATATTTTACACCTGAATGCTTTTAAAATGTATTTCCACTGCAGCAGAAAGCACCAAGTTGGTGGTCAAGTTATCTACCCTAAGCCTTAGAGCAAACTGATGGTGCTAAGAATGTAATCCATCATCTTTACTTCTGCTGTAATACAGTATCCAAGATAGAAGTTAATTTTTTTGCCTGTGATTACCATTTTAAATGATATTCAACAGCAGATGCTTAGTAAATGAGCTTTTCCTCGCGTTATCATTGAAGTTGTTTTTGATTAGTAAACTTGATTTATTTTGCGACTAGTCCTAGCAATTTTTTTTTCTCCTTCTACATCCCTTCCTATTCTTTGGTTCCCTGACTCTACCTAATGGAAAAAAAGAGAAAAGCAAGTATAAATTATATGGATAATATGAATATGAGTAAAACCAGAATTTATATATTAATGGCTTGTTTTAAATATGAAGTTTGCAAAGTTGATCCCCGGTGCTGAAACTGGAAATCTGAATGCCTCTCCATCTAATCAAACAAGAAGTCCTGAGAAATTTGAAAAGCTGGAGAAAGAAATTGAAGCCCAGTTAATACATGAACCCCCAGTCAATGGGTCCTCAACTCCAAGTACGTACGTAAAACTTCCTGGTGTTTGAAAGTGTTAAGTTGAAAACTCCCACTATTTAACTTGAAAGGGATAAATAGAGTGATCATGGACTGAAAAAGTTCAGGAAGTTTGAAATTTATGACAATTCTCTAGTGTGACTCTCTTACTAGAAGACAATGAAATGTATATGAATGGTTAAATTCAACCACATTGATTTCATACTCTTTTGGTGTGAATTTCATTTTCAATCTAATATGTAAGTGTCTCAATTTAATATGGGACAGTTAAGAGTATAATGTAGGACCCTTTGAAAATGGGTCATTAACTACCTGAAATTGTCTCGTTTTTTTCATATTAAAGTCCTCCCATAGAGTTCATGCCACCAACCCTAAAAACTTGCTCACATTTAAAAGGATATTAGTGTTAGGTTCAGCTATAAGAGTTATCTACTATACAAAGCAACCTTTGTATAGAAGCAACTCTTTTATATAGATATCTGTGTTTTACTTTAGGGTTTCCTTGGATATATTGCATTAGCTTAAACTCTGGGGCTTTGCCTATGGCACTACTTTACTCCTGTATTCCTTCTGTTTGTTTTTAATAGTCTTGGTTTATCTAGTTTGTGGTGCAGCTTGTCACATTCATCTTTTATAAGAGGAAATGGTTCAGAGATTCTTCAAGATTAATCCCTCTGTCATATGTTATTACATTAGACAGTTGGCAGTTGATATGTATAGATAAATGACTACTAGAAATAATGTCATAGAAAGTTTCTAAGATTTGTATTTCAGATAGTGAATTTTTCTAAATGTCACAGGAAGACTTTCTTTACCAGTTTTTCAAGTTTTCTCATGCCAAATCTTATTTAGAAATGTTTGATGTCTCTTAGTCTAAGTTGACTATTAATATTTTCCTCATTTTTTATTTTAGATCCAAAGATAGCACCCTCTGTCACTGCTGGAATTGCCAGTTCACTATCAGAGAAAATAGCTGATACCATTGGCAATAATCGGCCAAATGCACCATTGACATCTGTTCAAATCCGTTTTATTCAGAACATGATACAGGAAACATTGGATGACTTTAGGTAGTAATTGAGAAATTACTCTTTCTATCTAGAACTTAACTGGTTTTTTTATTAGGTGTAAAACCAGAACTATAAGTAATGTTGGTGGTTACTGCTTTGCCTAGGTTCTGGTGTCCACAAAACCATAGAAACCATGATGAGTTTTGTTGATCTTGATGTACTGAATTTGTTGAATATCAGCCAGGAAAATTTGCCTTGGACAATTATTAGATAACTTGGCAGGACAGTCTAGCAGGCAGGCTGCCATTGTGAGTTTTTTAATCATCAAAATGTGGACAGATTCTGGTAAGCTCAAATGGGATTCTTACATACAGTATTTATAGATCACCTGTTAAGTATGCTATGTGCAATAATGTAGTAAAGAAAGATATTTTTAAAAGGAGCTCTGATTATTTTCAAATAGAATACATCATAATGTAATACTTAATTTAAAAATATTCTTGCCCAGATCTACCCTTATCTTCTCATCCTTTAAATTTTGAACAGTGTGAGAATGTGTTCTAGAGTGCTGCTTCCTTTTACTTATCTCAATATATTTTGGAAGCTATTTTCAATTATTAGAATCTTTTGTGTTTTTTTTCCTTTCTGACCTATATTTACTTAGTATTCTAGCTCAGATTTGGATTATCATGAGCAACAATGTTGGAGAAGATGTGCAGTTTTTGTTGGTGCCTGTTTCTTTTTAATGTTAAAAATGTTTTAATATGTATTTTTTTAAATGTTAACAAATACATTTTTAAAGAAAAGTCATCATTTTGGTGTTTACACTTCGCCTAGTATATATACTAGAAACTAAGGATGCAGAAAGGAATGATCTGCCCACAAAGGCCTTATAGTGTAATTGGGATCGGTACAGTGTCCTGCTATGATGTGTGTTTCTTTAATGTGAATTAATTCACTTGTGATTGGTAAATAGGGCAGTGATGACAATGTGATGAGGAAATTTTGTTGGTTCATGTAACAGCAGCCAAAACAAAGGATCCATCTCCTCCTTTTCCCTTCCTCTTAACTTGGTTTAGCTGTCTGTCTTGCGTTAGGAAGTACTTATTTTGTGATTATTCCCCATTTTTGGGCATTTTATCCTTGCCTCCATACTTGACAGCCCCAATCCTTCCTTCTGTCTTCTTTCTGTCTCCTTTTATCAAATGACAATCACTTTTTTTAAGGTCAAGTCTTTTATTATTTAATATTTAAACTATGCTAGTATTTTTGTTAGAATTTGTTTTTGTTAGTGCTTTGGTTACAAAGTTGCATAGGTTTTGAGTGTCCCAATCCTTTTTCTTTGTCCTGTTATTTTCTTTTTTCTTACTTTCTTTTTCTTTTTATTAGTTTTGTTGTGATAAGAACACTTAACGAGAGATCTACTCTCTTAATAGGTTTTTAAGTGTACAATACAGTATTGTTAACTATAGGTACAATGTTTGTACAGCAGATCTCTTGAACTTTTTGTATAACTGAAATGTTATACTCATCTATTAACAACTCCCTGTTTCCCCTTCTCCCCAACCCCTGACATCCATAATTCTGTTCTTTGCTTCCATGGGTATGACTATTTTAGATATCTCATATAAGTGGAATCATGTAGTGTTTTTCCTTCTGTGACTGGCTTATTTTACTTAGCGTTATGTGCTCCAGGTTTATCCATGTTGTCACATATTGCAAGATTTCCTTTTTTAAGGCTGAATAATATTCTATTATGTATATACTATATTTTTTAAATCCGATCCTGTTAATTTCAATACACAATTTTAAAGAATATGAGGTTTTCAGGAATGCATAAATACGGCAAAATAGCAGAATTGTCTGGATGTAACTGACTATAATATAATGTGAATAAAGCAAAGTTGGAAACACAGAACGGGAGCAGTGCTGCTGGGGCAGATTTAGAAACATGTCGCTGCCCTCCCCCAGCGTTCAGCCGCCTCCCCTGCCTGCACCTGGGCGGTGGGCGTGGGTGGGAGCCTCTCTCCGCTCTTCCACACCCCGATCAGCATAGGCAGCCTCTGCTGGGGCTCGGTGAGGACTCAGAATGCCTCAGGGGATTTCTGTAAATTCACCTGCTCTGACCTCAGGTCCTGCATGGCTACACCCTACAGGGGAGGGACAGGAGAGGGTGTGGAGGGGCTGTCAGCCATTCTCCCTCAGCTGTGGAGGCTGCCTTCTCTGCGAGGGTTACTCGCAGTTCTCCTCCCCTGCCCTAAGGCTTCACGAGGCTGTATGCATCTGCTTGTGCCCTGGGAGGGGTCTCTCTTAGCCCTTCTGCTTTGCCCCTGGTTTTTTTTACATAAGCACTGAATGAAGGTCTGTGGGGAAAAGTTGGTGGAGACTTTGTTTGTGTCTGGGGCTCCATGGGATTCTAAACTGTCATTCCACTCTTCACTTGGCCTTTAAAAATCTATCAAAATTTCAGCTAGTTCTCCTTACCCTATCAATGGCAGCTTTCTCCCCCCACTGCTCTGTTGAGGAAGAAAACAATCATGGGGCTCTCTTCTCCTAGGAGGGACTCATCATTTTCTAGATTTTAGTTCATTTAGATGTCTTTGCACTCTCAAAGTTGAATTTACAAGTGTCTGATTTTATAGATTATCTGGCTTGTTCTCGTTTGGGTTGGAGAGATTACATCTTAAGCGGAAGTCTGTGGGTCTATTACTATTATCTTTCAAGAAGACTTAAGTTTCTTCTGGCAGGTAGATCACTTGGATCCTGTACTTGCTGGGTTTCAGGTCTTCTTAGGGCTAGTTTATTTCTGGTTTGCCTTTATTCCTAGGGTTTTGTCTGTGCCCTTCTAGGATGCCAGCTGAATGTCTGGCATATTCACCAGGTCTTTTTACCTTGGTGGGTCCTGAACTTTAACCTCCATTTCCCCAGCATCACAAGGCTGCCAAAATCTTTCTCTACTCTCTAGCTGCTACTTTATGTTTGGTTTCCCACCATCTAACCCAGTACAGGCATTGCTTAGGAGCCAACAGATGTCTCGAGGGGAAATTGCAGTTTCAGATTTACTTTTCTGCAGATTCCCTCTTTCCAGGTTAGACCTTGCAGCCTTTGCTGCCGTGGCGGTCCCAAACTATGACACTCCCCCACCCAGTGAGACTGTCTCAAGCTCCAGCCCACTGCTTTCAGCTCAGCCTCTTTTCCCCACACTGTGGAATCAGCACATCCCCAGAGGGAAAAGCAGAGGTAAATGTGGGGCTTACCTAGTAGACTTCCCTCCTTTGTAAGACCATGGCCCCTCAAGTCCTGGCTACCTTAGTGGTTCTCTGATGCCTTCAAGTTTGTTTGTTTTTGATATAGCTTTTGTCATGACTGAAACCAGAAGAGAAAATTAAAAAAAAAATACCCTTATAGGGGCCGGCCTGGTGGCATAGTGGTTAAGTTCACATGCTCCACTTCTTCGGCGGCCCGGGGTTCGCAGGTTCGGATCGCAGGCACGGACCTATGCACCGCTCATCAAGCCACGCTGTGGCAGGCATCCCACATATAGAGTAGAGAAGATTGGCACAGATGTTAGTTCAGGGCCAGTCTTCCTCACACATACACAAAAATATATACCCTTATAGTTGCAATAGATTTATTCCTTTGTTTGGGAATAAATCTAACCAAAGACAGTCGAGATCTTTATAGAAAAAATTTTTTTTAAATTTATTAGAAAGCATTAACACTTAAGTAAATGGAAAGCTATTATGAAGATGTCACTTCCTCTAAATTGATCTATAGATTGAATGCAGTTCCAGTCAAATCCCAGCTGGGTTTTGGGAAGAAGATGATGGGATAATTCCAAAATATATATGAAAGAAGAAAAGATCTGGGAAATAAGCAAGAGACTTAGAGAAGCATAGGTTGAAGGGGACCTGTTTGTCAGATAGATAAGCCTAATTATTGAGCTACAATTAAAATAGTGTGGCACTAGCATAGTGTGGATAAATTGCCCAAAGGAATCAAATGTGATATATGAGAGGAAAAGTATGAATCTGTATTCCGTGCTGTTAAAAAAGTCAATCCCATAGAGAATAGAAGTTTAAATGTAAAGGACAAAATTGTAGGCGTTGTAAGAAAATTTATATATGACTTCAGGGTAGGGAAGTTATTAAAAAATAGGAGGATACACTATAAAATTAGATTGATAAATTTGACTGCATTATTAGGTTAGTAAATTAGAGAATAGTAATAAGAGCTGTTCATGACAAGACACCATTAACAGAGTAAAAAGGAAAAGAACCCTGCAGTACTCATACAACCAATAAAGGAATAGGTTCTCTAAAGAAATCTTATAAATAACTAAGAAAAAAAGACATTCGATAGAAAAATAGAAGACACAGACGAGCATTTCACAGAAGAGGAATGGTATATGAGCATAAAGAAAGCTGCTCAACCCTATAATTAATCAGAGAACTGAAAATGCAATGCAATACCGTTTCACATCCATTAGATGGGAAAATACTGTAAAAAGTCTGGCAACACCCAGTCTTGATGTGGATATAGAGCAAGAGGAACTCTGTTACACTGACGATGAGTGTGTCCATTGATATTACCACTTCAGAAAACAATTTGCATTATTTTGTAAAACTGAGCAAGTATACATGTGGATCATACCTGTAACTCAGCATCTGCTCTTGGACATATCACCTACAGAAATTGGCACATGTGGGTTGGGAGATATATACATGATTGTTTATAACAACATTATAGTAATAAAAACTTGAAAACAGTCCAGATGTCAGTTGACAGGAAAATGTATACACCAATATGTCAGTGTATTGTAGATATATAGAACATGAATCTTGAAAACGTGATACTGGATTATTTTTTGAATGTACGCTACTTAAGACCATGTAGGATATGGTACCCTTTTATAATGCTCAAAAGCAAGCACACCGAAAATGTATTGACTACAGATTCTGTGTTATACAAATGTATTTTTTTTTAAGCATTTCTTTGCTCAAACAAAATTCAGCAGAGTAGTTACTTCTTTCTTGGGCTTCTCCCGAGAGTTAAGTGATGGAATCAGGAGCACACAGGAAGCTTCTATGATCTTAGTAATGTTCTAGCTCGTAAGTTGTGTGGTGGGTGACTGAGTGTTCTTTTTATTATTAATTTTTTTTATTTTATTTTTGGTGAGGAAGATTGGCCCTGAGCTAACATCTGTGACCATCTTCCTCTATTGTGTATGTAGGTCACCGCCACAGCAGGGCTTGATGAGTGGTGTAGGTCCGTGCCTGGGATCCGAACCTGCAAACCCAGGCTGCCGAAGCAGAGCACGTGAACCTAACCGCTATGCCGCTGGCCCAGCCTGGCCTCTCCTTTTATTATTATACTTCATAATTTTCATGTATTCTTTTGTAGGCATGAATTAATTGCATTTTATTGAGTAACCTCTGTAATAACCACCCAAATAGCCCTTTTCCATTCTGTGGAAGTATTTTTTTTTGACAGTGAAAACACTGATAATGGTTAAAACATTGTAACCTAGTGAATTATGTGTATTTCATTATAATATAAACTTGTGTCCCTCCTTAATGATAATTTCTGTAATAAGGAATGTAGTGTAGTGAAAGTTGTGGAGGTAGACAGCTTGGGTTTATATCCTAGCTCCATCATTCACTGGTTGTATGACTTTGGATAAGTTATAACTGGTTGTGGCTCATTTACTTCATTGGTAAAATGGACGTAATAATTGTATCTAGTTGTGAAGATTAAATGAGTTCTTACATTTAAAGTACAAGAAACAGTGCCTAGCACATAGTAAATAAATGCTTAGGTGCATTGGTATTTTTATTATTGTAATAATAATTATTAACCTCCAATAATTTGAAACTGAGAAAAGTTTAGCAAGTTTCTTGAATGATCTAGAAATGGTAAAACTGTTACAATTCTAACGAGTATTTTACATTCTTCCCTAGAGAAGCATGCCATAGGGACATTGTGAATTTGCAAGTAGAGATGATTAAACAGTTTCATATGCAATTGGTATGTATGACATTTTATTTTAAATGAGTGTAGAGTTGTAGATCTAAAAAATTCATTTAAGGACAATATATTTTTACTTAGTTATATGTGGTTGCTAAGATAAATAAACAGAGAGTTTTAGAAATTTAATAAGTAAAATAGATTTTAACTAGTCATTCTTTTTTTTTCCCCAAAAAAAAAGTTATTTCTTCTCTCTTTTTTTTAAATTTTTTTTCTTCTCCCCAAAGCCCCCATACATAATTGTATATTTTTAGTTGTAAGTCCTTCTAGTTCTTCTATGTGAGCCGCCCCTAGAGCGTGGCTACTGACAGACGAGTGGTGTGGTTCCGAGCCTGGGAACCGAACCCAGGCTGCCGAAGCGGAGCGCCTCAAACGTGAACCGCTAGGCCGTCAGGGCTGACTCTAATTAGTTTTCTTTTTAACCTATGATAGTTAAGGCTACTTTTTCACAGGTTTTTTGTTTTTGCAGAAGTAATCAAAAAGCTTCCCGAATGTGCAAATACAAGCCTTCCAAATGTATAAATTTCACCAGTGATCTTTCATTTATATTAACAAAGTAGTAAGGGTGGTTAAGTACGAGAAATATCATTCAGCTAAGTTAATTGAACATGAGAGAAATGATAGCTGCAAGTGTGTAAAACAGCTTGCCAAATCAATGTGAAATACCACTAATTTAAAAAGCATGTTTTCCTCTTTCTAGAATGAAATGCACTCTTTGCTGGAAAGATACTCAGTGAATGAAGGCTTAGTGGCTGAAATTGAAAGACTACGAGAAGAAAACAAAAGACTACGGGCCCACTTTTGAAATTTCAGTGAATACCGTAATGTTTTGTAATTTGGGAAGTTTCTGGCAACGCAGAACTACATGGATTCAGTATTGTTTTCTTGGCCTCTGGGAAAAAAATTTTTTTCAAGTAAAAGGATGATGGGATTTTACACCAACCACTATTTCATCTTCTCTGTCAGAAACTATTTATATTTTTATATTAAAAACTGTACAATATGTCATCTGCCTAATAGGAAAGTCAACAGGATCTTTATTTTCTGAAAGCTTTAGCTATACACTAAGTGCCCTTTTTCATAAGAAAAGAAAATTGTGCAAAAAAAAGGTTATGTATGTTTTTTAATCACCTTTTTTAACAAATATATTTTCGATTGACAATTGCCTTCCAAATTTTTTTGGATGTTTGAGGATTAAAGAGTTTGATATGCCTTCTATTTTTATGAAAGTAATTTTAAAATGACAATTGGTGTTTCTAAGCAGTTGACTAATAAAACACAAGGTTGGTTAGTAATTATTTTGTTAACTTGATGAAGTCAAGTATGGCTATTATTTATTACTTGTACATTTGATAAGACAATTTTTGGAATTTTGAATTGCACAGATTACATTATATCTATTGCATTTATGTTACTGTATTATACTTCTGACAAATCTCTACTCCTGGTTGATATTTTTTTAGTTAATGTCACTTTACCTGTGAAAACTTTTAAAAGTTTATGACTCAACCAGAGCTGCATTTCTGCTGATTATTTCATGAATTAATAACATGCAAAATTATACTATGAAGTTTCAGTCAACATGATTAACTTATAATCATTGAACATTTCATATTAGATACTACTACAGTATTATTGCCATTTTTTCCCCCAGATGAGAAGTGTGGATTATTTTGTTTTGTGGCTTATATCATTAACTTTCTCCAATTCTTTTGTGTGCTGTGTGTAATATTTTTATATTATTGACCTTACCATAAAATTTAGGAAGGTTAATTGTCAAAAGAATTTATACCTCTTTGACAATAGGTGGATGTGTACATCTACCTGCTGTGGTCTGCAGTTTTAGTGGTGTAAGATTAGGAGGGCTACTGGCTTGTTTACCTTCTTGTAGTCTCTTGTCCCAAAGATTTAAACTATACCTTGTATACAGCACTCCTGCCCAATTTTGACTTCTGAGATGAAAGTATTTACTAAAATAAAAAAGAAATCTAGCTAGCTTACTAACTTTATGATTTTCCAAAGCAATGGAAAAATTTAAGGATATATTTAATAAGTGTAAACATACTAATAATTACTTTAAGAAATAGACAGAAATACTACGTTTTCCCAGTGCAGCTCAGAGAATATGTTTGTATTGAAGCATAAAGGGGTGCTAATGTGATCTTTCTCCTAACAGATAATAAAAGCATTATGACTTGTAACAAGTTTCCTTATATATTATTATCAAACAGGTTTAGTAGACATAAAAGTGTGTTTTGCCTACATGCTGTATTTAGATCCGTTATTATTTTCCTGTTGCCTTTTTCTATACATGCACATAATGTGTATTAAAAGAGGTGAGGTAAACAAAACAATTTTATTATCTTCATGTGTATAGACAAAACATTGTCATGGAATGTAAAAGCTTAAATAAGTTCAAAAATAAAATTTTTATGTGATAAAAATGGGAAACCTGAAATTAAACTTTTGCCTCTGGGCAAGATGGAGTAATAGGGATTGGATTTACCCATCTGAAATTTTGAAAAGACACAAAATATATGAAACACTTCAAAAACTGGACAGTAGGCAGCACAGGACAGTGATACCTGAGAGAGGGAAACAAGTGAGACCCAAGAAACTCAGTGAACCCCAAGCATAAGAAATAAGACTGCACCAAAGCATGTCAGAATCAAATTCCTTAAAACCAGTGACAAAGGAAAGTTCTTAAAGCAGCTAAAGTCAAAAGACACAGAGGAACAAAGATAAGAATGTCAGAGACAGTGGAGCAACATCTTTAAGATACTGACAAAAAAACCTCAGAATTATATACACCCAGCAAAAATATATTTCAAGAATGAAAATGAAATAAAAACTTTTTCAGACCTAAAAAAGCTGTAAGAATTCATCACAAGCAGACTGGCCCTACAGGCAACAGCAAAGAATGCCTTTAGTCAGAGGAAAATGGTACCAGATAGAAATCTGCTTCTATGCAAAGGAATGAAGAGAACCAAAAATGGTAAGTGTGTGAACAAATGTAAGACTTTTTCTTATTTTAAAATATCTTTAAAGGATAATTGACTATTTAAAGCAAAAATAGCAAGGTATTGTGTGATTATCATATGTAAAGTGAAATGTTTGATAACAGTATCACCAAAGATGGGTGGAGGGAGATGAAAATATGCTACTGTAAGGTTCTTACACTAACTGTGAAGCAGTACAATATTCACGTGAATATTGTCTGTGATAAGAATGTATACTGTAAACCCTAAAGCAACTGCAAAAAGAAAAACAGCTGTAACTAATAAACAAAGATGATAAAATGTAGTCATTAAAAATAATCCAAAAGAAGGAAGGAAAAGAAGAAAGTGGAACAAAGAATAGATGGGACAAATAGAAAACAGTAAGAGGGTAGACTTAAACAGCACATCAATAATTACATTGTGTAAATTGTCAGTTACCCTTATTATCAGATTGAGTCTTTTTTATCTAACTATATACTGAATTCAAGAAATACACTGTAAATATAAAGACAAGTAGTTTTAATATAAAAATAAAAAAAACTAGAAAGTATATTGGGCTGAATGCAAATGAAAGCAAATTATCAAAATTTATGGGAATCAGCTAAAGCAATAGTATAGAGAAAATTATATTATTAAATGTCAAGGAAAGGACTCAATGACTTCTGCTTCTACCTTAAGCTAGAAAAATAAGAGCAAGTGAAACTAAAAATGAGCACATGAAAGGAGAAAAGATTAGAGAAGGAATCAATGCAATAGAAAACAAAATCCATTGAGAAAATTAGTGAAATTAAAAGCTAGTTTTTGAGAGCAATAAATACACCTTTAGTCAGACTGATGAGGAAAAAAAGGAGACGTAAGTTACCACTATCAGGAATGAGAGTAGTGACGTCACTACAGATTCTACAGGGCTTTCTGGCAAAAAAAAAAAAAAAAAAAGCCAAACCTAAATGGCTCCACTGGTGAGTTCTTTTGAATGTTTAAAGAAGAGAATATCCCAATTCTCAACAAGTGCTTCCAGGAAATAGAAAAGGGTATAATTGCCAACTCAGTCTTTGAGGCCAGCATTATCCTGACACCAAAAACAAAAAAACTACAAACCAATATTCATTACAAACACATGCCAAAGTTCTAAGTAAACTTTTAGCAATTTGAATCCAACGAGGTGTAAAAAAGATAATATATATGAACTAATAAGGTTTGTCTCAAGAATGCAAGTTTGGGCCAACATTAGAAAATTAATGTAATTCACTATATTAACAGACTAACCTAGAGAAACCATGTGATCATTTCAATAAATGCAAAAAGAGCATTTGATGAAATCCAACATTCATTTCTGATAAAAGCTCTCAGCAAAGTAAGAATAAAAGAGAACTTCCCTAACCTAATGAAGGACATCTTAAGAAAAACCTGCAGCGAACATCATACTTACTGGTGAAAGACTGAATGCTTTTCCCCTGAGATCAGAGACAAAATAAGGATGTCTGCTATCCCCTTCTGTTAAACGTTGTTTTGGAGTTTCTAGCCAAGACAATTAGGCAAGAAAAAGAAAGAAAAGGCATCCAGATTACAAAGGAAGAAGTAAGAAAGTCTCTTCACTGATGATGCATTCGACTGAATAGAAAACCCTACAGAATATATAAAAAATCTAAAACTGAGTTAACAAGGTTACAGCATACAAAATCAATATACAAAAATCAATTGCATTTCTATGTACTAGCAAAAAACAAAAATTGAAATTAAAAATACTATTTATAGTACCATCAAAAATATGAGATACTGAGCCAGCCCTGATGGCCTAGTGGTTAAAATTTGGCACCCTCCGCTTCAGCAGCCTGAGTTTGTTCCCGGGCGCAGAACCACACCACTCACCGGTCAGTTGCCATGCTGTGGCGGTGGCTCACGTAGAAGAACTTACAACTATACACAACTATGTACTGGGGCTTTGTAGAGGAAAAAGGAAGGGAAAAAAAGGATGAAGATTGGCAACAGATGTTAGCTTAGGGCAAATTTTCCCCTGCCCCCAAAAAAAAGTAAAAGCCTTCTCCTATGAAAAAAAAAAAAAAAAATGAAACACTTAGGTGTAATTGTGGTAAAAGTTATTTGAGACCTGTACATTGAATTCTACAAAAAGTTACTGAGAGAAAGCGAACTTAAATAAATGGAGAGACATGCCATGTTCATGGATTGGAAGGCTCAATATTGTTAAATGTCAATTCTTCACGTATTGATTTACAGATTCAGAATAATCCCAATAAAAATTTTACCAGAAACTATTTTTCTCTTCAGCTATGTGTGCTTTACTGTTTACCTAATCTGGTAAGTATTTAATGTCACCTATTTCATTTTTCAGCTTAGAATTTCCATTTGATTCTTTTTTAGAGTTTCTAATTCTCTGTTGAAATCTTATAATTTAATTCCTTAAATCTATTAATCTCAGTTATTTTAAAGTCAGTGTCTGATAACTAATATCTGGATATCCTATGTATCTGTTTCTGTTTTACATTCTCGCTCTCAGTTTTTGTTTACACTGTGCCTTCTAGTCTTCTTGAATATTTCTTTCTTGAGTGATTGACATGGTTATAAAAAATTGTAAAAAGACTTTGAGTCTCTGAATGCTATTATCTTCTTCCAGAGAAGATTTACTCTCACTCTGGCAGGCAGCTCGGCTAGGGCAGTGAGCACTCCCATGCTCACTTAATCCAATCCAGTCAGGGATCGAGGTGATTCCAAGTTGAGTTTAAGTACCTGGTTTATTCTTATTTTTAAGCTATAACCCTTCAGAGTTCCAACCAAACCCTCGGGGTTCCATCAGGGCCATCCTACTTGGTGAGTCATGAACTCTAATTTTTGTCTCTCCAACTCGGTAGGTCTTCAAAGTTCTGCTTCTTACCTTATTGATGTTTTGCAGTTGAAGTTAACAGAATGCCAGAAGAGTTAGTACTGTAGATAACCACTATATCTTATCTAAAGTATTTCTAGCAAAGAATTATTTTATGTATTAAATTATGGAGTTCCACATACTTAGAGCTCTTAAAGACTACAGAGATGCAAAGATGAAGAAATAGTATGTTTCCATGTATGTTACTTGTGGGAAAAGTAAGGATGTGGCAATAGAAACAATAGTTAGAACCTCTGAAAGGAAAAAAGGTGTCTTTTTGATTATCAAAATGCGGTTTGGTAAGTCCCAGGAATTCCCAGGATTTTTTGGGGGACCCATGAGGTCAAAATTATTTTCATAATAATACTAAGACATTGTCTTTTTCACTCTTATTTTCTCATGAGCAGAGAGTGGAGTTTTCCAGAGGTTACATGGCATGCAATTACATCATTGTCCTGATATCTAATGGAATGAGTGCTTGTGTATTCTTGTCCTTTCTAGAATTTTCTAAGGGAAGCTTTTTAGAATTCTCGATCATTTTTAATAGTATAAAAGAGACCTGAGACTAAGAGAATTGAGATCCTGCAGTGTACCTTTTTAGCTGGCAAAAAGGACCCTTAGAAAGCTCAAGGGCATGGTCCCACATTAGTCTGACATGTGCTTAGTAGTAGTAATTAAGCCAAGAGTGAGAGAGAAGCATGTCTAGAAAAGAATTGTGGGTACACAGAGTAGACTGGAATCGAATGCATAGAAATTGACAAAGTGTTTTGAACAGTTGAATTAGCAACAGCACTGCCATCTAGGACTAAAAGACATTGAGGCTTTTCAAAAATATTTCAAAAATCTCTGAGTTCTCAACTTTCTAATGCAGGAGGCAGGCTGTGAACGTTGCTCTGTTGCCAAAATGGCAGATCTTCCAAAGCCCTTTTCAGAAGTGGTTGAGGAGGAGGGTGAAAAAGGAAGGACAACTCAAAGAAGAGAGTCAGAAACAGTGGAGAACAATGGACTGCAGAGGCACTCCCAGGGAGCAGAACCCAGGCCTAATCGAGAAACATCCCCATCCACAGCAATGTTTGCCCAGTGGGATTTCAAAATTGCCATAGGCCAGTCATGGCCAAGAGCCTGCCGTTCTCCTTAAAGGGGAGTGTTTATTGCAGTTATCCTGTCCCTACTTCACCATTGTTTATAGGCTACATGTGTGTGTGTGTGTGTGTGTGGTAGGGTGGGAGCAGATAGCTCATTCTTGTGTTCATTGTTCTCTGAACAGAAATCAATCATTGTTCTTATCAAGATGAGAGGTGTCTGGATCTAGTGTGGAGTACAGGATCACAAACTTTGACCCTGATGCTGTGATTCGGTGTGACTTTTGAGAATCCTTGGGCAGGGGTGAGCATATATTGTACTTACTGTATTTGGGAGGAACATGAGTTATTGAGGCCCAGAGGGCAGAGTGTGGTGTATTGCATTATTGTCACCAGTCCTTCACCCCTACCTATATTCCTGCCCTTTGCCGTTTGACTTTCCACTTCCTATTACTAAAGGGGTGGAGTATTTTTCC